TCACACAAGGAGCAGGTCCCACCTTCTCTCCCAAGGTGCTGCCCTGGGCATCCCTGGGTTCCTCCACCTTCCATTGAGAGGCCTTTGCCCTGGGCCAGTCCTGGGTGATGCTTCCCAGCCCCTCAGCACAGCCTCCACCCGTCCTCAGTCTCCAGGGAAGGCTTTTCTTTTCCTTCCTTCCTTTCTTTCTTTTTTTAAAGATTTATTTATTTGAGAGAGAGAGAGAACTCATACATGAGGGGTGGAGGGGAGCAAAGGGAGAGGGAGAGAGAATCCCAAACAGACTCCCTGCTGAGCGCAGAGCCTGACACGGGGCTCAATCCCAGGACCCTGAGATCACGACCTGAGCTGAAACCAAGGGTCAGATGCTTAACCGACTGAGCCACCAGGAGGCCCCAGGGAAGGCCCTTCTATAACCCCTGCAGACTTACGTCCTCGGCCAGTCATGGTGCTCAGAGCTCGCATGAATGCCCACGCGCGTGTGTGGGTGTGTGGGTATGTGCAGTGTTGGGCAGGCCTGTGTGTGTACGCGTGTGCGTATATGCCCGCATATGTGTATACGCACGCATGTGCACGTGTTGAGTGAGGGTCTGTTGGCCGCTGTGGGTCCTGGCCCGGCCACCTTGTGGTTGAGGCACCTTGAGCTAGGCCTCTGCTGTCTCCGCGCCTCTGCCATCCAAGGCGCCCCAGTCTTGGCCCCGGGGTAGTTGAGGAGAAGCGCTGCGCGGACGTGTATATACGGGGAACCCGGCACACCCGATGTGCTTGGGGGACGAGCGCTGCTACTGGTGTCGTGGGGCCGCCGCGTGCTGGGAGGGGCTGTTTGAGGGGCAGCGGCTGAAGGTGAGACAGCGCACCAACAGGAGCAGCTTGGGGCGCTCTAGCCTCATTGAGGAGACCCCCTCAGGGGCCCAGGCCCTGAAGGACAGGCTGGGCAGGCCGCCCACTGTCCCTGACCCAGGCCTCCGGCGCTCATTTTGCCTGATCCAGGCCAGGCCCGGCAGCAGGGCAAATCCTGGAGGCCCGGCTCCTGCCCTCTAGCGATCGTCAGCGAACGATGCCATGATAGCGATGCCACCCCCTGCTGTGCCCGGAAGCAGCAGCAGGAGGACGGAGGGGCGTCGGATGCGGGGTGGGGTCAGGGTGGGCTTCCTGGGGGGCTCCGGGGCTGAGGCGTGAGTAGCCCTGAGCTGGCACAGGAAGAGGAGGGGCACGGCCCATTAGAGGAACTGAGAGTGGCCGGTGGGTCTGGAGCCTGGGAGGGTGTGTATGTGTGTGCACCCCAGCATGAGGGGTCCTGAGCTTCGATTGCATCGGCTTCAAGGGCCATGAGGAGTCATGGCAGGTTTAACAGGGTTGGAGGCAGGGGTGGTGGGAACAGATCGGCGTTTTTAAAAGATCACTTGGGCTTCTGGGGAATATTGAAGGAGGCAGGAGTAGAGGGTGGGAGACCTGGGCAGAGGTCCTGGCCAGGGTGAAGGCAAAGAGAAGGGGGGCATCTAGAGGTGAGAAGGAGAGTCAGGAATGGTGCCAGGTGCCCAGAGGGTGCAGGTGCTCTGCAAACACTGATGTCGGGTGCTCTGCAAACGTTTGGTGACTGGATGATGGATGGGGACTGCCACGGGAAAAGGGGTGTGAGGGAGGCTGAGGAGTCTGATTCAGACGTGATGCGAGGGGATCCCAGAGCATTCTGAAGTCCAGCTTCAAGCCTGGACTGGCCTGCTGTCCTTTGGATTCTCACACTTAAGAGGACAAAGGCAGGAGTGTGACAGGCGGCCTGTGGCAGCAGGGCGGCTTCCTGGGTGTGCAGACTGCAGGGTCGCACTGGGCCCACGCTCTGGAGGGCCCCTCACATGGTTCAGTGCTCTGCTGTTGCCATGTTGAAATTCTTCATTTTTGAACAGGTGATCTTGAGTTTTTGCTTTGCACTGGGTCCCACAAGTTCTTTAGTTGGTCATGCCCTGAAGACCAGCAGAAGCCAGTGAATACCCCAAGGGGGTAGACACAAGGGAGACCAGTGTCTTCTGCTCGCGTGTGCGAAGGTGGACACAGGCGCATCTGCACTTACCCACAAAATGCCTCTACTCCCAATCGACCCATTGGCCGAGCACTTGTGTCCGTGTGCGGTCCTGGGAGGCTAGCTCACCCCTTTCAGTGGCCTCTGTGTACCAGAGCCTACCTACAGTATCTCTGCTGGGCAGAAAGGAGAAGTTTGAGTGTGTGCAGGGCTTGGGTCCCAGCTCACCCCTCCATGCCGTGGAGCAAAGGACTGAGGGTCTGCCTTGAAGTCCAAGGTCATTCCAGAGCAAACAGGGAATCTTAGAGGAGGCAGTGACTGTATGCAATCCACTCCCTTCCAAGCATGTATCGTCCAAAAACTGTAACTGGGGTCAAAAAAGCTTCAGGTCAGCCAGGGCCGGCATACCTCTAAATGCCTCCCTCAGTTGGTTTCCGGGAGCTTCCATGTATTGCCATTTATATTAACGAATTTTTTTTTAAAAAGATTTTATTTATTTATTTGACAGAGAGAGACACAGCGAGAGAGGGAACACAAGCAGGGGGAGTGGGAGAGGGAGAAGCAGGCTCCCTGCAGAGCAGGGAGCCTGATGCGGGACTCGATCCCAGGACCGTGGGATCATGACCTGAGCCGAAGGCAGTCGCCTAACCAACTGAGCCACCCAGGCGCCCTATATTAACGAATTTAATCATCACAACAACCTTGCGAGGTGGGTAGAATTATCCACAGTTAACTGATGAGAAAACAGAGGATTGGAGATTTGTGACTCAATCAGTAGCTGGACTGGGGCTGGATCCAGGCTGGTCTGTGTCCCCCGGAAGTTGTGCCCTTACCCGAGTTCCTTCCCACCTCCTTGACCAGGGGGAGGGGCAGGGACTGGGACCCCAGGGAGCAGAGGCAGCCCGTGCTGGCCTGTGATGATTTGAAGGCAGATGCCCTGGGACCTGGTTCTGAGTAATATCCCACATGAGACACGGCTGTCTGCCAGCTCATGGGGACCGTCACCTGTCTGTGACTGATCCAAGGCTCAGGCATTTGGGGGCTGGGGAAGGGAAGCAAACCTGAGGCTGGGAGAGAGGGGCCATTCTAGTGCTGAGTCCCACTCCCTCAAAACAAGCTGGCTCTTGGGCGCCTGGGTGGCTCAGATGGTTAAGCGTCTGCCTTCGGCTCAGGTCATGATCCCAGGGTCCTGGGATCGAGTCCCACATCGGGCTCCCTGCTCCTTGGGAGCCTGCTTCTCCCTCTGCCTCTCTCTCTCTCTCTCTCTGTCTCTCATGAATAAATAAATAAAATCTTTAAAAAAAAACAAACAAAAAACAAGCTGGCTCTTAGGCAGTGAAAGGGGGCCGTGGAAGAGCAAAGTTCCTTTTGCAAGTTTACTTTCTGCCTTTTTATTATTATTACTATTATTATTATTCTTTTTAAGTAGGCTCCACGTGGAGCCCAGCTTGGGGCTTGAACTCATGACCCTGAGATCAAGACCTAACCTGAGGTCAAGAGTCAGATACTTAACTGACTGAGCTGTGCAGGTGCCCTATTTTCTGCCTTTGATAAAAACCTTTGCAAGTTGGTGTAGCCACCGTGAGAGGACAGAGCGGGTGCCTTCCGGGTGCCCGGGCACAGGTGGGCAAAGGCATGGGCTTCTAATAAATCCAGGACAGGGACCCTAAACTCCTTCTCTGGTCCAAGGTACCCACCTGCGAGGGGAGCCGGATCAGCAGGCTCATCCTGCTACCACCCACCCGTGGCTGCTGTGGCCTGGTGGCTCTCGGGGACTGGTGGGCACTTCAAAAATGGGAGGCTGTCTGAGCTGTTGCCCCAGTTCCCTGGGACTTTGATGAGCTCAGGGCCCCAGGCAGGAGGTGGCCTAGTAGGCAGGTGTTACCCTAATTTGTGACTTTTTCAATGGAATAAACACAGAACAGAAAGGAAATGAACAGGAAAATTAGCAACATCGCATTCCTAGTCATCCCTCCCAGAGTGTCCCCAGATTTGCTAACTGCTAACATCAAATGATGCATTTGGGTAGAGGAGTGCATCTTTTTATAGTGATAAGATACGCTTAACGAAATTGACCATTTTCACCGTTTTTGAGTTCGGTGGCATTAAGTACCTCCACATCGTTGTGCATCTGTTTCCAGAACTTGTCCATCTTCTCCGCCTGGAACTCTGCACCCGTGAAACACTGACTCCCCATCTTCCCCCTCCCCCGGCAAGTTCTACTTTCTGTTTCTATGAATTTGACCACACTAGGAACCTCCTATACGTGGAATCATATAGCATTTATCCTTTTGTGTCTGACTTATTTTACTCAGCATGATGTCTTCAGGGTTTATCCATGTTGTAGTATATTGCAACAGTTCCTTCCTTTTTAAGGCTGAATAATATTCCCATTGTGTGGATAGACTGCATTTTGTTTATCAATTCTCCTGCCAATGGACACGTGGGTTTCTTCCATCGCTTGGCCATTGTGAATGATGCTGCTGTGAACAGGAGTGCATCCTGTAAAGTACTATATCCTGGAGGGCACTGCTGGTTTACCCTGTTGTGCAGAATTCTGGGTGCAGAGCGTCCTGAGCTTTGGTATTACGGGTGCTCAGGTGGAAACAGCACTGGATGAAGTCAGGCTGCCTGGAAAAGCTCCCCCGGCCCCGGCTTCACTGTCTTTATCTGTCTGGTGGGATGGACACGATTGTTGATGAGTGTCCAAGGCGGGGGGGGCTCCCTGGATGCCGCTGTGCCCCCAGCCACATGGGAGACAGGCTGGTGTCCTCTTCCGTCCAAGAGCTATTATTATAGTAACAGTAGTGATGACTGGTATGAGATGATGCAGAACAGGATGTGGCTTTGAAGGGGGCTGTGTCTGGGGGAACCCAGATGGGACGGTGGATGTCTGTGTATTGTCTGCCCCCCCCCCCCCCAGAGCGGGGGGAACGCAGCCTTGTGAGTGGCTGATTGAGTAAACTGGCCTTCCTGTCCTCAGGTCCAGCTGGGAGCTCCCGGACCTCCAGGAGGGCAAGATCGAGGCCATCAGTGACTCAGACGGGGTGAACTACCCCTGGTATGGCAACACCACAGAGACGTGCACTATTGTGGGTCCCACCAAGAGAGACTCCAAGTTCATCATCAGCATGAACGACAACTTCTATCCCAGCGTCACGTGGGCCGTGCCCGTCAGTGAGAGCAATGTGGCCAAGCTGACCAACATCTACCGGGACCAGAGCTTCACCACGTGGCTGGTGGCCACCAACACCTCGACCAATGACATGATCATTTTGCAGACGCTGCACTGGCGGATGCAGCTCAGCATCGAGGTGAACCCCAACCGGCCCCTGGGCCAGCGCGCCAGGCTGCGGGAGCCCATCGCCCAGGACCAGCCCAAAATCCTGAGCAAGAACGAGCCGATACCGCCCAGCGCCCTGGTCAAGCCCAATGCCAATGACGCTCAGGTCCTCATGTGGCGGCCCAAGTATGGGCAGCCGCTGGTGGTGATCCCACCCAAGCACCGGTAACAGCCAGCGTGCCCTGCTAGGCTGGACTCAAATAATAACACTGCCCCAACAACACCCACATGGACTCTTCAGTCATTCAGCAAAATACAACCACTCTACCTTCTTGAGCGGGCGGATCTCACTGTGCAAATGCCCCGGGATGGCCTCCCCCAGCCCTCTTGGCGCCTGCTTCCTTTCGGGGAGGGGGAGGCCCGGCCGGGACACCCAACCCCACGTCCCCCCTTCACCTTGGGTCTCCTTTTCTGGCAATTCCAGTCATTCACTTGCAAGACTCCCCGAAACAACTGCTTTTTCAGTTCTTCTTCCTCTTTTTTTTTTTTAAACACCTCTTTAAGAGGTTCTGGGCGGGAGGAGGCGGGGCTGGTTATGACCCTGACTGGCAGCTGCTACTGATTTGTGAGTGGCGGCCCCCCATGGCAGCTCCCCTCGTCCTCCCTCACGCGGCCTTACGTAGACTCGCTTTGCCAAACTTTTGCCTTAAGCTGAATTTAAAGGAAAAAGCCCAAAACAGACAAAGAAAGCAGGATCTCTTTTCTACCGGACTGTTCATCTTCTGCTAGAGGTGAGGTGGGGGGGCAGGGCCAGGGAGGAGAGAGGGGCACCTGAGCCCTCTTCCCGGCTGTCTTGAGAGAGGGGCAGGGGGACAGATTGAGACCTAAAACCAGCTGCTCATTCTTTCGTTTCAGCAGAAACAAAACCAGAAACCAGACCGACCACCTAAAGAGCCCCTTCTCTCCCCCTTCCCCATACCTGCGGAGAAGGTACCTATGCGCTCCCACCGGGTGGATCTGCTGGGGCCGGCCGCTCCTCTCCTCTCTCTTCTGGCAGCCTTACCTTGCCTGGGGCGGATCTGGGAGGAGAGAGGGAGGGCTAAGCCCTGGGATTCTCGCCATCTCAGTCCTCAGCACCCAGCCACAGGTAGCTCCACAGGCATATCTCACTATCGTGCGTCTTTCCCTTTTCTGTCCACACTGGCCCCAAAAGCCTGGAGGGCCAGCCACCTTGAGCCAGATTTAGTTCCAAGGTAAGAGAGGCAGGCAACCTCCCTCCTGGCTCCTTCTCAGGAGATGTCCCCCACCCCGCGCCAGGTGCTCTGGGAGAAGCTGCAGACGGCTCTGGGCGCCAGTGTTGGAGGTGGGAGGCAAGCTGCCAGGGGGGCACCCAAGGATAGGCGGTCCTGGATCTGGGGAGGCCGGGGAGGCCATCAGCAGACGCCCTCTGCTGCTTATCCTCAAGGAAGCAAACCAGGGCCTCTGGCTGGTGGGGGTGACATGGGGCCATGGTTGACAGGCATTGGGGCCGCTCTGGAGGCTGGTCGGGCCAGTGTGGCCAGTGTGGAGGGCCACCATCCCTCGGGTCCAGGGCCCTCCAGAGCCCGAGGATGGTCCTGAGCGACCCCAAGCTTTCTTAGTAATGTCTGCCTTGAAGGCTGCTTGCAGGAGCTATGGGGGACACCCCACGGAAGCCCCCTTCCTCAAGCTTGCCAACCCCCACAGCTACTTCACCTGGCCCTGCATTCAAACTAATAATACCCAAGCACAGAAAACCATCAGAAAAGAAAAATAATTCATTTCTGCTGCAGATGAGCCACTTGTTAGGAGTCCCAGTGACAGCGTGGGAGGATGTGGGTCACCTTGCTCTTGTACTTACTCCAAGGGTGCTTAATGTCCTGTCTGTCTCCCACGCCCCGCTCCTGACAGCGGGCCCGCAGCTATCCTGGGACAACTGGACCGGAACATGCCTGTGGTACCGACACTTGCGTGCTGCTTGGGGAACCCCTTTTTCAGGCCCAGGACCTCCCCCTGGAAACTGCCTGTTCCCCTTGGTGTGTACGGAGACCCTGTCACCCCGAGAGGCCAGAGAGCCTTGAGTGAGGGGGACGATGGGTCCCAGCTCTACCTCTGCGGAAGGGCCAGGCAGGGGCCAGGCTGACGGCATCCTGCTGCCGTGGACAGGACCTGGCCTCCTAACAGAGCGGCCCTTCTCTGCACTCAGGTCTTTCTTGCACTAAAAAAAAGAGGAAGGGCCCTGGGCGAGGGGTCAGGAAGCTGGAGTTCGGGTTCTGGGCTGGGTCATCACTAAGGGATGCTCACTGTGCGATGGGGTGGGAGCAGGAGAGGACAATAAGGAGTGGTCCTGAGCTGTTGGGGGCAGAGTCCCCCAAACATGCACCTGCTGAGTGTGAGCAAGGTCTCTTGCCAGGGACCAGCGCTGTGCCCACTGGGAGGGAGCAAACCTGCTCTGGCTGCCTCCCCCAGCCTGCCGCATGTCTGGGCCCCAGCTCACCTTGCTCCCTGACTCACCCTGCCCCTCTGGCCCCCCTTTCTCTCTGTCCCTCCTGGCCTTTCTGAAGACGGGGCAGGAAAGACCCCGGAGAGGCCGCAGGTCCAGCCAAGGACACTGGGCTTCACTTGGGTCTGGTCCCTGGGCCTCCTCCCTGTCAGGAGCACAGACCCCAGGCTTTTCACCTGGGTCCCCAATCCCTCTGGTGTCCCCCACCCCTGGCGTGGACACACTCCTCCAGCAATAAGGACCATCCGTGGTCGTGGAGAGTACTGTGAAAACAAACCAATGCACTTACCAGAAGGCACGAGACTCTTGAAGAACATGTAAAATTCACCTTTTTAAAAAAGAACCAACAAATATTCACAAAGAGAAATAAAATGTAATTTTAAAGTAGGCCTGGCTAGGGTCTGGATGTTTCTGAAGTGTTTCTGAAATGGTGGTTCATTTCGGGATCGATGGTGTTCTGGCCACGGGAGCGAGCATACTTGGAGGTGAGCCGCTTTGTTCACGCGTCCTCTGCTGTTTGCAGCCCTGGGACCTCAAGTCCCTGCCCAGAGTGCCCCGGCTGGTGCCCCATGTGGAGGCAGGACTTGGGGGCAGCTTGTTTTTTTGGCAAACAGTAGAAACCCATGTGATGGGGAGTTAGTGTTCAGATGCCCACGGGCCTGCAAACCTGTCTTCACACGGAGAAACGGTTGCCGGGACAGTGTCAGTCTAGAACATGGCTCTGTGCCCTGCCCTTGGTCAGCGGCCAACGAAAGGGGGTGGCGTGGAGTCATGGCCCTCGTAGTAAACGCTTTCTTCTAATTAGCACTTTCTTATGAAAGGATGGGAGGTGGATGTGGGCTCTGAAGGTGGACCATGGAGTCAAGGCAACTTGCATGAGTTTGGGTAAGACACTGAGCCCCTCTGAGCCCCCTTTACCTTGTATGGAAAGTTGGGATTCTCCGAGTCGTTGCCTCCTAGTTGACATGGTGAACACATGCTGGTCTACTCGGTTTCCAGGTGTTAACAACCCGGGTGTTCTTAGGGTCCCCATTTCACAGATGAGGAAACTGAGGGACAGCAGAAGTTGAGAAGCTGCTCAAGGCCATGCATCTGAGAAGAGGCAGAGTTGATCAGAGTTTGAACCCTGGCCCTGGAGCCCAAACCCTTACCACTGCATACCCTCAATCCTGGCGTATTGCTACAGAGCATACGTTTGGTGCTCAATAAATAACAGCGACTGTTAAGAAGGCCCTGTGCCTTTGCTCCATCCATCCTGGGCTCCCGGGCAGGAAATGCCTTTCTCCCCGCCCCGCCCAGCCCCCCCGCCGCCCCTGGAAGGTTTTGTGCAGCCGTCAGTCCCCTGATGCCCACAGTGAGTCCGGCCTGTTCCCTTTGGTGGGGGGGCTGCCCGGTCGGCTGCAGACCACGGGCTCATCCTCCAGGGGTGCCGGCAGCCTCTTCGCATTGCCACAGAGGACAAGGGACCCCGTTCACTGTGGGCATCGGGGATTGGGTTTCTTCTCTGGGTTTTCCACATTGCAACAACCCAACGGCATTCTGCATCCTGTCTCCTGGGTCTGAGACACCAAAGCAGGAAATTGCATAACAGGCTCTGCTGGCCGCCCTCCACCCAGATGGCTTATGGGTGGTACAGTTCACTGTTGTGGTTGGCTTTCGGTTGTGGTATCGGCTCCCGAGCTCTGCCTGTGAGAGAGCCTGGGGCGTGTGTGCATATGTGTGTGTACATGTGCACGTGTGGACGACAGGGGTGCCGGTCTAGCCAGCGGCGGGACAAAGCCGAGCTGGATCACATCGGGATAAAGCCAGAGTTGCTCAGCCATTTGGGCCTTCGGGCCGACACGCGGCTGAGGACGCGCAGATGGTGGCGTGCACTGGGGGGCGGGGAACGTTCCGGAGGGGAATGCGCCAGGAGGGTGGCCATGAGTGAAGAGGGTTCCAAGTGGCATTTAGTCACAGTGGAAGCCCTCCCGCCTCTCAAGCTGATAGCAGGTTAAATTTAGAAGTCCCAGACCGGGATGAGACACAGACACCAGACTCGAGCCAGCTGTTGCAAGGTCCCCTGCCGGAGCGGGGCCTGGGGGCGCTGGCTGTCAGGGCCGGGCCAGGCCCGCCTGCCCCACGATGCCGGAGAGAAGCAGGCACGCTGTGACCCTGCACACAGCCTGACTGTTACCTCTGGTCACTTCTGGGGAGAGTCCAGCCTCTGGACTCGGGCTCCCTGTCGGTGAGGTCTTGAGCCCACAGAGGAAACCCCACTTGTTGTTGGGCCAAGAGCGGGACAGCTCAGAGGGAACCACAGAGAGGCCATGGCTGGAGGCACTCTAAGGCCCCGGGGGACATTTCTATCGGCTCACATGTGCTTTCTCACCTCCAGCTTGATTTCTCTCTTGGTTATCATTTGTCCTGCCCGGCTGGCCCCACAGACACTGTTTCCCACCTGGCTGGGGTCTGGGCATTGGATTAGGGCAAATATTGGAGGTAGCAACGGGTTACTGTGAACACACACCATCCAAACGGACCCACCCCAAATCCTTAGCCCACCACTCAGGCCCACAACAACGCACATGCAGAGTGCACGCTCTGGTGCTGGAGGGCCCTTCCTGCCACCGCCGAGCACATACGAGTGTAGAAGGGGAACTTTCAGAGATGAGGAAACTGGCCCTCAGAAGGGGCTGCAGGACCTGCTGGAGGTCACTCAGCTGGGTAGTTGCAGAGCTGGGCGGGTTTCAAACATCCGTCTGGTGACCTTGCTGGGTCACTGCTCTTTCGGCTACACCACCCCCGGCCTCTCCACACTCCAGTTCTACCAGACTGCCCATCCCTGCTCTTCTGCGACTACTGCGCAGAAAGCCCCTGGCGTGGGGCTGAACGCGACTCATCACAGGCCCACTGACACGGGAAGATGGAAAGTATTAAATGCAAGAAAACACATCTGAGCGAATGAGCTGTGTCTCTGCGCTTGGGTCCAGAGAGGCCAACCCGAGCTGCTGACAAGGGTCCAGGCAGGTCCTTCCCCACTGGTCTGTGTGGACTGGAAGGCGGGATGGATTCATTCCTCTACCGGCCTGAGCCCAATTTAGCTTTAAGGGCCACTGCCCTGCTTCATCATTTATGGTCCCTTTTTAAATCAGACAGATGACAGGCGGCGGCGCTGGGTGTTTATGGCAAGTGAGACGCAGTTAGAAACCCTGCGCTATTCTTGGCTGCCACTTGTCTTGGTGAGTGAGGTCGGCGAGTGAGGTCGGCTGGTTGCCTGACCTCACATGCCTGAGTTTCCTGATCGGCAAGCTGGGACACGCACACCTAGCTCACCCTCCCGTCCGGGCCCAGCAATGCGCGGCAGCTGTGAACCCTGCCCAAGGGGCTGCCTGAGGATGACCATACCGGATTGGGGCTTCCACGGGAGACCAGAGACACCCCTCCTTCAAAATGGCAACATCCAGACCACAGGCCTTGGTTATTCAGGATCCTTAGACTCTCACCCGATGCATACTGGGTGCCATCCAGCCAGTCAGACAAGAGGATCTCAGTGTTGTTTCCACGGCTGTATCGAGCTAGAGTTCACATGTCAAACAGCTCAACCATGTAAAGTGCACCATCCATTGGCGTTTATTGTATACACAGAGTTGTGCTGCCAGTACCCCAATTTTGGAATGTTCGCATCACCTCAAAGGGAAACCCTGCGCCTGTCAGGTATCATCATCCCCAACGCCCCAGCCCTAAGCCACCACCGATCTCCCTTCTGTCTCCATCCGTGTCCCTACTTGGGACATTCCGTGTGAATGGAGTCACACCACGTTGCTCGCCCGTGCCTGGCTCCTTCCCCTCGGCATGGCGTTTTCAGGGTTCCCCTGTGTCGTGGCATGCATTGGCACCTCCTTTTCAACAGATGGACTTCTGACCATCTCCTGTGTGTGAGGCCCTTTGCCAGGTGCTGGAGAAGCAGCGGCTTGGAGCTTACCATCCCCAGGGGAAAGTGGTTTGTGACGATGAGTCTGCAGGGGCCCGGCTGGAGGGTCAGAAGACAGGACCAGGAGGATGGCCGGCTTCCGGGAACACAGTAGGTATGAGGGAAATTTGACCTATTAATGCTGGTAAGCCCCTGAGACTCAGTTTGCTCATCTGCAAGATAGGGCTATGGTGTTCTCCTCTCAGGGAAGGAGGACATGGGACTGGCAAGCATGGCTCTTAGCCCAAGGCCACAGGTGTTAGCTGTTATTGACCTTGTAACCAGATGTAAAAAAGATTTTTTTCTGCCCCATGCTGGATGTGCCAAGGGACCGAGGAGCACTTTGGCCAGCCTTGGTCTAATCCCTGCT